TCTCTCTCTCTCTCTCTCTGTCCCCCCCCCTCAAGTCACACGTACACCCAAAGTTGCAAGTGGCACAAACTCTGCCTGCCTGCAATATGCCAGGCCCTAGAACAACCAATTCAAATTATAGGTAGCCTTGATTTGTACTGTACTGTCTTGGTTCGACAGACCCACGGATAATAAATAGGGCCTTATATCATTATTATTATCATAGCCTGCAATGTTATAATATTTTATTATACCTTGTAGCAATGTACGCATTTAATCTCCCCTTTGTAGTGTGTGTGTGCCACTGGCCCTAAATGTACGTTCAGCACTTTGTATTTTCAGCAGAGGCTCACGAGAGACGAAAGATAACCCCAGCAATGTTTCATCGTTGGGAAGAAAGCGCGTGGATGAATCATAGAACGGGGGAAGGAAGGAAGGTCTGATCTTACTCACGCGCAGGTGGAAGAAGGAATGGGACGAAAGGTTCAGTAGCAAGCTGAAAGGGAAACGGTAGGGGGGAGACGACTTCTGTTTGTGTTTCAAATGTAGACTTAGCCTGTTCACTTTGTTCACCCCTGTAAACAAGAAATACAGGCGGGAGAGGAATTTACGAACAAAAGGAGTGTTTTTCTTCTCGACTTCAGTCAGGTTGACCCATGACCCTTCGACGTTCGAGAGGTAGGCCAGGCCTACCCCTTTGTGCTGTCTTCGCCTTCGTTTTTTTCCCCAATGAAGTGTAAGTAAACAAAGAAAAGAAGTAAAATAAATTATTTTTTTTTTTTTCCTGCTATATATTTTATTTTGAAAAATTGTCGAATATTTTGAAGAAGAACTTTTTTCTACAAAATGTGATCAAGTTTCTTTCGAAAGCGAAACTAATATTTACTGCTGCGCAGTATTTTGCTCCGGTCCTAGCTTAACCGTTGCTATGTAATCCGGTTGTTGTACACAATCGAACGTGCTGCCCAGGTGTAATAAACATTGGTGTGACCGTTGAAACTACACGTCTTCAGCTTGTAGAAAGAACTGAGTTGACAACAAAGCCATGGCTGTACCATTTTCAAACACAAAACTGAGGGTCCCGAACGGGTTTCAAAACATCTTGGAATGTCTGGCGAGAGAAGTGCTTCGCTCACAGCCAGACAACATCCATGAATTCGCTGCGGCTTATTTCGAAAACATGATGAAAGTTCGAGCAGGTAAGTGAGAGAGTGAGTGAGTGAGTGAGAGAGAGAGAGAGAGA